GTAGAATGAATCCATAGAAAGATAATGGAAAAGGAGAAATAACAGGATCAAAAAATTCCAGAATTTAATTAGGGATCATTTCCAAATCTCATCAAATGTGTGAGTTATTCCTGATACCAATTTTAACTGGAGATTTGTAAGAACATAAACATAATTGCATTGTATAAAAGTAATATGCAAAGCCCAATGTATCTGCCCCAATATCAACCAGAAGTTTTAATGGGCCAAGGAAATGGTCCATGCCTTGCCATACATATCTGGAAAAGATCCACATACTATTTGCTAACCAGTTCATTTTAGGTCCTTTATAATAAAATGAAACTGTTTACATACTTTAAAATGTGGTGTTGTGCAAGCTTGTCACAGGTTTTTTAGGAGTTAGGGTACCTAAACTTTCAGTAATGATCTTAGTGATCAGATCAGTAATAGATTAATTAGTATTATTACCATATGCTGCACTAAACCTGTAGATATTTTGTTCAAGAGAGCTATGAATCTAAAAATCTACCTAATCTAGCCACTTTTCTATGAAGGAGGACAATCCACATATCAAGTAATTCTCTTTTCTGGGACCTAAATCATAATCAAGGCTATATTGTGTTCTATAATCACAGAACAGCAGTTCAGTGAAAAATATTTCCAGATGACTCAGGCAAGAGACTCAAATCACACTCAAAGAAAAACAAAAACAGGAATCATTAGCTCAAGATGTTTTCTTAGCACTGAAGACAACTTGTCTAGTCCAACGAATGGCAATGGGTCAGGTTTGAAAAATGTTACTTACCACATTTCCTTGTGCGATATTTAAGTGAGGAGAACAGTCAACAGCATTCAAGAACTGTTCTACACATTTATCCCCTATCCCTCCCTCCAATAATGATGAAGCATGGAAAAATACAAGGTAACACTGTTGATGGTGTTCTATAAAAATCAGAAAAATTAGGTTGTGATACACTTCCTAAAACTGTAAGATAATGCAAAACTGATATTGCAACTAATCCAGAACATATTACAGTTTCTTGTAGGCAGGTCACCTGCATGTTGGTGTATGACCTAAATAAAGTTAATTTGCAGAAAATCCAATACAAACTCAGTCTGGCCATTCATCTTCTCTTGTCACTAATATTGACTAAGTTTTAATATAGAATAGTTTTTGCAAGTTAGGAATAAAGTTCTAAAGTTGACTTCTGTTACTTTGAAGGATTATATATAATCAAGTAACTGTTTCCTTTTTTTTTATTTACATGTTAAAAAATGAAAACTCTTTCTCTCACTTCCTAATATAGTAAACGTTCCATTTTCCAAAGTAATTTTTTTAAAAAAATGCACCCAAAGTTTTATTTATTATTCAAGAAGTAAGCAGAGATCATACTAAGGGGGAAAAGCATAACTAAAGTATCTATTTTTATCTTTTCTTATCTTTTTATCTTTCCCCTCTTTTTCTCATCATCCTTACAATGTTTGCCATTTAATGGTTACATACAATGAACAAATGCTTCCTGGATGCTTTTTATAAATTATGCCAAATTTTTTTTTCTCCCTGAGTATGAAAGTTCACAATATAGAAAAAGAATATAATATTATAAATGTTTCACTTTAATGTGTGTCTGCCATTATGAAAGATTGAATATTTATATTGCTTTTAGCAAACAGCTCTAGCCAAAGACATTTGGAAACTCCAGTTGACCCATATGTTTAGAATTCATGAGAGATGGGAAGCAAAAACATAATTATTTCACACTCAATTTGTCAACTTCCTTTGGTAGCTAGATGGATGGAATATAATTCTGAAACACACTCAGCCATTGTAATATACACAAGGAAAGGGTTCCATTTTTATATGTGGCCTGTTCTACATATTCAACACAAAACCTTAAGTATAATTACCTATACAACACAAAGTTTTTCTCTTGCCTGCATGATGGACCTGCATACTCTTAGATGTTAACTCTATATTTTATCCAATGGCCTTGTCACAGATTCTCACGAAAGATAATACCTAGCAAACTATGGTTCAAAGGCAGTCAAAGAAAATACATATGTTTAATAAACATAATGTCATGACCCCATCAGATCCCAGTTAAGAGGAAAAGGGGGTGTTAGGAATGTAAGTCACCTAACAGTTGGGTTGGAAATATATAAACCAGGATAGACATTTTAATACTGTCTCTTTAAGGGAATGCTAAAATTGTAATTGGGTGTGGCTCCTCAAACGATGGAGCCAGAAATCTGGTTTCCCAGAGAGTGTTGCCGTTCCTGCATTTCCCTACTGACTGTTGCTGATCATTGTTATTCTTGGATTGATGTGAGTCTATTACTGAATTGTTTTTGATACTGGACTTTTGATATTTCAGTTATCCCTGGACTGAAAACTGACTGCTATAACCGTGTATGACTTGGACTGCTTGTTGGACTTTGCTTAACCGTTTACTGGACATAAAAACCTACATTTTACTATACAGTGTACCTGTGTGCTGGTTGTGTGTTATTCCTTACCACTCTCACTACATCTCCCTGTATGCACTCGTTCTCCTAATGAGGAATTACCTCAACAGGGGGCATTGGAACCGGGCCGTCCAATGAGGATGGCACATCTCCCTTGGAATGTTTGGAGAGGCCAGGGCCTGAGGATGATGCTGTCTAGGGCCCCTCAGACTTTGAGGGAGATAGAGACGGAGAGCTGCCTGTCCTCACAGACACAGGGAAGAATGCAGAAGGCAATGGTGTTGAGAGGCAACAGATCCACTCTGATGAGGAATACCTGCCTCCCCCACTCGATCTGAGGGCAGCTAGAGTGGAGCAGAGTCAAGATCAAAGGATGTCTGTGAGGCTGAGAGAAGGTCGCTCCACCCCTCCTCACAAGGAACACTTGGCTTGGGTTGACTTAAGCAAAGGCCAGGAGAGATTGTCAGGAACAATTGTTTGCTTTGCACTCCCCTGGCTTTTTGGGAGGGGCGGGGGGAACAACCTCAGCCTTGACTTGTGTTTCTTCCTGTGCCTTGCTTTGTGCCTTTGCCCTGTGGACTTGCCTTGCCCTGTGGATTTGTCCTGCCCTGTGGACCTTGCCCAGTGAGCTTGCACCTTGTCTTTGGATTTCCTTTCGGCCTTTGCAAATGGTTTTGTTGCTTACTGGCTTTTGTTTATGGGTGGCTACCTTCAGGAAAGTGTGGGATGGAGCCTTACTCATTGTGTGCTGTAGGGCCATTTATTGTGAAATTTAACAAAGCAGTAAAGGACTCAAATCAAATCAGAACAAATAAATCAAGTCATAACAAATAAAGTTCTATTTGCTTATAATTCCTTCACCCCACCTCCAAATATACACCCATTTTTAATACCCAATCAATGACTTTAAGGAGATCTTTCAATCCATAACAGAGCCAAAACCTCATTCTAGGCCTGTCAGATACAACTGCAATGGAATCAAGAAAAAACTTGCCAAAATCTTTTAATCACAGCAGAACAAGGCAGATTGTTTTCATTTGAAGATTGTACTGGGGAATAGAAAAGTGACATTTGAGGGTATTAAAAGCCAAATTCATCTTTTATTCACACCCGTTTCTAAGTCAATTGAACAGTTTATACGGATAAGGTCCATGGAATCCACAAATCAGTGAAGAGTGATTAGGAATCAAGGCTTCAAGGTAGGAGGGAGTGATATGAAAACCATAGGACCCTGAAGTTTATTTCAACAATCTTAAGCAAAAAGAATTCAGACAATGGGTATAAAATCCCTCTAGGAAGAAACTTGATTGAATAAATGATATTTTTCTACCTTTGAGAATATCTGAGTAGGAAAAAGCAGAGAAACCCACTACCAAAAGATGTAAGCCTCTCAGGGACTGCAACACAACCTCGTCTTTGCCAAGACAACACACTGCTCTTCCACAAATCCAGGGCTACCAATTACCCAGCCAAAAGGTTGTTGGCTGACAATCACTCCACTAGGGGGATATAAATTCAGTCTGACATCTACCTCAGAGAAGGCCCAGTTCCCAAGTGAATAACTATCCTTTTCCTTATTTTTCTTGACTTTATTCAAAGCAACCACTTCGAGAATGCAGAGAACACATCTCTGACTCCAAACCTGTCTACAATTCTATCTTTGCGATTCAAAGCAACTTTCCAGGCAAGAAAAAGGCAATTCACAGTTCGGTACACAAAACCCTCTATGTTTAAACAGCTGATACGGTCAACATCTTGTTACATGCAAGGATACTGCACATCTATCAGGGAAAATTAGGTCTCTGTGTATACTTATTTCCTACTGAAATCTTTTTTACATACTCTCAATTGCCAAAAAGACTGAAGGGAAAGGGTGGAATAACTGATTATTGGTGATGTAACTTTGCAGGAAGGAGCTGTTCTTCTGGAACCTTTCTAAAATAATTACATCCAAGACAAAAGCACTGTGTGAAGGTTTTGTTGTTTGTCCCCTTTAGTTGCCAGCCTACCTTCAACTATTATATAAGCTGGAACAATTTTAGCAAAGGGTTAAAACAATGCAATGAAGTGCTGCAAGGACCAAGGCTTGGGAGGGGGGCAGGTAACCTGCAAGAGGAGGGAATAACATGCTACAAAATTTAACTCATTTTTGGTAGCAGAGATGGAAAGCAAGGATAGGAAAACCAAATCCCGAGGGGAAAATAGGAAGGCCAGTGGAACATAGTAATTTTGCAAAGTGAAAAAAGTCGTCCAAGCATCTGTTTTGTTTTTTGTTTTTTTTTACTCCAAAGCTCCAGAAGTAAATCAACTTACCAGGGTCGAAGTGCGAACTGAAGGCAAAGCTGGGGTTGAAAAATGAAGCCGACATGACAATAGCCAAGAGATTTGCCACCATTCCCATGGCAAAAGCAGAAAAGTGGGGAGGGGGTTTGTGGGAAGTACGAAGACGAGAGAACGAAAAGTAGATTAAAAAATAAATAAATAAATAAATAGCAAAGGCGGTGGGCACCAGGCAGGTGAGGCGATGGGATGCAGGGGAGATTAAAAGCTCTCACAACTCCAGAAGTTGCACGGGTGTCACATTAAAAATCACCATCTCCTCTCTTCTTGACAGCACAGCCAGGGAATTCAAGACTGCAGCTCCTCCTCTTCCTCCATGTTATTATCCCGATGCGTCTCCTTCAGGTATCCACGGGATGAAGTGGGCTCGGCTAGAAATTGCCACACTTGCAAAAGGTAGCATTAGAGAAAGTCACTTAAAGAACAACCACCACCACGGCGGTAAGGGCTGTTTTTTTTAGGCCAATATATATAAATATCTATATATCTATATAGATATATATGCGATCGCCCTGGTATTCGGAGCTGCAGCGCCAAATAAAAACAAAAGACGATGCCAACAGCAAAATAAAATTGTGCCGGATCGGACTGCTTGCCGTCAGCCAAAGAATGCACACAGCCTCGCGAGCGCCTGCAAGAGCCCAAAATACGGTCTCACGCTCGGCTCTTCCCCCCACCCCCGCACCCCTCCAAGTCCGGCTGCCAGAGGGAGGAAAGCTTTGCACCAAAACAGGAGCCCTCCACAGTAGTGAAGGGATTAGAGCGGCGAGAGGAAACGGCCAGAGGGCAGCAATAATGCCCGGGCGGGAAAGAAGCTTCCGAACGACTGCAGAACTTCAAAGGGGCCGCGGTGGCCGGCGCTAATGGGAAAGCAAAGGCGGGAGCTGTTCCAGTGCTGACCCTGGGAGAAACTGCAACAGCAGCAACGCCATCTTGGTCCAGATCTGCCCTCCCCCCAACACTGCAGTAAGCAGCAGGAAAGGAGCAGGGCCGGGCGGGTGGGGGGAGCGCGAGAAGAGGCGGCCGGGCAGCCACTTGTCCAGGTGCCACGGTTTGGCGCGCGCCCGGGCGAGGAAGGGGCGTCGCTGCACGTGCAGTCAAGTGTGACCCGGCTGAGCTCGCGCGCTCTCTCGCTCTCTCTCGCGCGCACACGCGCGCGCATGCCCTTCGCTCGAGCGCGAGCGTTGCCCGATTTACGCCGGGCGGCCAAAGCAAGCCAGCCTCGCTTCCCCACCTCTCCTCCCGCACGCGCTCCTCATTCCCGGACGCGCTAGCGCGACGAGCTTCCCGCTCGGATCGAGGCTTCGAACCGTCTGGACCGGGGCCACGGCACGTCCGCCTGCGCGCTTCGAAGCGTTCGGAGCCTGAGTGGCGCCCATGACTGATGCCGGGCTCACCCAACGGGGTCATTGTTTTTCGGGCGACGTTGGCTAAGCGGGCAATTTATTTTGATTGATTGGTTGATTGATTGCAAAATCGTCGCACTGCGAAGCTTTAAGAGCAACGCTGTCCGCGCTCGCTTCTATTTCTGGCGCTCTTATCAATAGCAGGAGTTATAGCGGGCAAGGGGTATGGGACTCTCCTGAAAATGGCAAGGCCGATCTCTAACATCCTCCACGCAGTGTTCATATCTAACCCCCACCTTCCCCAATTCCCCGTGGTAGATACGCTAGGCTAGTGGGCTGGGGTGCTTTCTTGTGGTGTGATGCATGCATAGTACACAGTCATCAGGTTGAGGCGGCCCTCTTGCTATTAATTCATGATGGGAGAACATGCCCCCCCCCAAAGCTCTGACCCAAAGTCCTTCCACAGAAGCAAATGGTGTCAGATGGCAATTTTCACCCACAGGTGTGGGCATACACCAAACCTTTTCCAGACTGATGTGTCAGAATCCGTATCCCATTGCTGGCAGCCAAAACCGGGTCGAAGCTGGCTAGGGATTATGGGAAGTTCACCAGGTTAAGAAAAGCAGGCATATATGCCCTCGCTAGTTCTACATACTCAGAGTAGGCAGCTCCACGTTTTAACATGATGTCATGTAGTATGTTCAGTTATGCTTTAATTGCACTGCTTTTGACATATTTTTAAATCTTTATCTTATCAGGCATCTTGCTTGCCTACTTGGACTGAGAAACAGCGTAGTAATGGAATAAATAACAACATTGAGTGTTTAGACCATCACGGTAGCACAAAGATGGAGAAAAAAGCACACAATACACAGAAAATCCAAAAATAGCATTGAAAAAGACAAGCAATTTCCCTGCCCCCAGTGTCCCTGGAAACACTACCAAGGCGCACCAATCAATGCGAGAGTTTTTCAGCAGTAGACAGTTCATATAAGTTCTAGCATTCACACATACACCAAAAGAGAGAAGGAGAGAAGCAGAGATCTGCAGCCTTTCTATTTTGTAAAATGGATGAAAGTGGAACTCCTGCCTGGAGGCCCAAGGCAAAGTGCTTGTTGGGAGTCCTAAGCAGGAAGATGTTGGTGATGTGTTCAATGTATCATGTGTATTGAAAAGGCAGGCTTGTTTTGCACAAAACACTCTCTTCTACAAAGCCCCCTTCCCCATTGTTATTCCCATCAAAAATAGATGGCGGGGAGCAAGTATTACACAATCTTATACCAGTGGCTGGGAATTTACGTACAGGTGCTGACATGGTAGCGGGCTCAGTCAAGTATATCCAGCAACCTGGATGCTGATACAAGTGGGGCAGTTCTGAATTTGTAGGCAATTTAAAAAGAAAACAAAAAGGGTTTCCATGTGAAGTAATTTTCCTGTCCTCACCCCAGTAATAAAGCTTAGAAATACTGAAGACTGCCAATGACCTTCAAGATAGAATGGATTTAAACACAAATCGCCACATCCACTAACTGCTACTATAAGTCAGATGCTGAAATCTAAGGTTTTTTGGTTCCATAAGAGGTCAACATACAACACTTCTAATTTACCAAAGTACAATTGTCACCATTTTGAATTTCCCATGGAGGAATCTGTTGTGATGGCAGATTCCGTGGGGTTATGATGAACATACATTCTGCTGGTCATCTTTGTGGATGGAAATATTATGTTGATCTAAAAGCGGGATTGCCAGACTGGATGCTCTCAGATTAAAAGAGAAATGATCAGCACAGAAAATGAAGACTCAATACACAAAATAGTTACAAAGCTGGTTCAGATTGGTCTGTCTTGAGAACTACTTTCATTAGAGCCCAGTGGCAGAATATTTTCAGCAAAGTATACATCATACGCTCATATACTGAAAATCTGATGAAATCTAGCAGGGAGGCTGTATCTTCCCACGGTCTGTTTTAATGTTTAAAGTTTGGGCTCCTAGTATATACTAATAATTTTTCAGAGGATCAGGCTCTCAAAGAACATGATGCTGCAGATGTCATCTCACCATAAATAGATCTTATGCTAGAAGGGGGATAAAGGTCTTCTTGTGAACAAATGTTCTCTGAAATGTTACCCCTGATGCTTTTCAGATTTACTCTTTTTTATTTCCTGGGGTTTAAGATAATATTGCATTGTATCCAGCTACAATTCCCACTTGTAAAAATCAGAATGCAGAATTCTTAATGGGTGGTTATTGATGCAGTTTGCCTGAGTGGGAGCAGAAATGCTTAGAACACAATCTGCTTTTAAATAATATTCCTTTTCATCAGTAAGAAGGCAGCTGCCTCTTCAAAGTTTTTTTTTTTTAAAAAAACACAGATTTTATTCTTTTTTGGATACCTCCAAGGGGAAAAAAAGGGAGAGTGAATCCCAGAAAACTATTGACAACTTCAGAGAGAGCTAGATTCTTAATTTGGTTTATTGAACTGTCTCTGTTGTCTGTAAGGATTTCTTGAGGACCTTGAATTCTACAGCCTCCATCTCCAGCTGGTTAATAGTGGAACTTTATGCCCCTGAGCCTGCTCCACTGGGGGCTTTTGCAAATAGGGTGGATAAAATATGGGGTAAATTTTGAAGACAGTCAAATATAACAGGGGTGTCAAACTCAAGGCCCACAGACCGGATGCAACCTAGTGGGTACTGAGATCTGGCCCACGGGCCACTTTGGAAAAAGCGAAGGACCAGCCTGTGGTGCCTCTGCCAGTTGAAAATGAGCTGTTTTTGCTGGCAGAGGGTTACAGGACGCCGTTTCAGCCAAAAACGGAGCTCACAAGCCCATTTTCACTGGCAGAGCACTCGGGCCCCCATAGGCACCCCCGACACGAGTGACATTGAGTTGGCCATGCCCACCTTGGCCATGCCCACCCCGGCCCCCTGAGGTCAAACACAACCCTGATGCGGCCCTCACTGAAATCAAGTTTGACATCCCTGGTCTATAAGAATCCAGCCCAGCCTAAAACTCTCCCTCTTAAATTGACCCAAAACCTAAGCTGACCAAAGAGCAGGCATAATAAATTCCTTCCCACTATGGGAGGTGAAAGCAAGGGTGCAGCTTACAACCACCATGGAGCCCAAAATTTCTGTTGTTTAAGTGAGACTTTTGTTAAATGAGTTTTGGCTCATTTTAGACCTTTCTTGCCACTGTTGTTGAGTGAATCACTGTAGTTGTTAAATTAGTAACACAGTTGTTAAGTGAACCTGGCTTCCCCATCGACTTTGCTTGTCAGAAAGTCATAAAAGCTGGTGATATGTCCCCCGAATGCTGTAACCGTCGTAAATATGAGTCAATTGCCAAACATCTGAATTTTGATCACATGACCATGAGGATGCTGCAATGGTCGTAAGTGTGAAAAATGGTCATAAGTTACCTCTTTCACGGCTTGTTGTAACTTGACAACCTGGTCATTGAACGAACTGTTGTAAGTCAAGGACTGTATTGATTCCATGTTCTGTCCTGACCAGCATAATCAGCAGCACCTAAAGCTCTTTGTCACACCTCTCAGCATGACCTGAAAATACACCATAAACATGTGTAAATATCATGTCTTTATGTCTTTTTCATTCCATCTCCAACCCATTGCAAAGGCTCATTAGAGTCATTATTTTTCAGATTGAGTTTTAGTTTTCTATCTCAGCCAATCACATTTTTGCATTTGACATACTCTAGGATACAGTACTTTTGGATGGTGATATCTTGATCTGTCCAACTTTTATTGGCTACTTTAGGTTAGTCACGGGGGATATCTCCTTCGCTCTGGTTGCTGAGCATTTCCTCAACAGCCATTTTGACAGCTATAGGAAAGTTGGAATTACTGCATCAGATGCATCTGCCATGTAGCCCTCAGCTATACAGGTTTAGCACCATTTTGAATGGGCATCAGTGTTGGGATTCAAAAATTATTACTACCAGTTCTGTGGGCGTG